GTTGGGAATAGCCATCCATTGATCTTTGTTGCACCTGGACCAATCGTGAATCCATCTGGCGGGAGTAGTACTGTTCTACTCTAGACATGGGGGGATGCTGAGCCACTACTGACCTGCCAAGCCCCAGCGATCTCTCTTGTTGCCCGACCGTTTTCCGTGATTATGGAATGTGAGGAATGCCTTAAAATCAAACCCTTCTCATGGGTCGTGAAGATATAGAAGCATGTAGGGAAGCATTCTCTTTCAGTATGTGGATTGTTAGTACTCCAGATACGTGCAACAGAGTCCATGGTGATGTCAATGGCTTACAGTGCCTTACACAGTCTTGCTTCCATTCTTCTTGTTCGTGCGCTTCGTCTTCTTTGCCTTCATCTTCTTAACCTTCTTTGACCTCTTCGTGTTCTTCATTTTCTTCTTCCTGTTCTTCTCCTTCTTATACTACTACTGCTGCTACTACTACTAGACTACTAGTACTAATACTACCACTTTCTTCTTCCTCTTCTCCTCCTTATACTACTACTGCTGCTACTACTGCTAGTACTATTGGTACCACCCCTCCCTACCACCCCTACCACCCCTACCACCCCTACCACCACTACCACCTCTAGCACTCCTACCACCCGTACCACCCGAACCACCCGAACCACCCGAACCATCCGAACCACCCGTACCAGTACCGCCACTACCGCCACTACCACCCGTACCACTCGTACCACCCATACCACCCGTACCACCCGTACCACCCGTACCACCCGTACCGCCACTACCGCCACTACCACCACTACCACCCGAACCACCCGTACCACCCGTACCACCCGTACCAGTACCGCCACTACCGCCACTACCACCCGTACCACGCGTACCACCCATACCACCCGTACCACCCGTACCACCCGTACCACCCGTACCACCCGTACCGCCACTACCGCCACTACCACCACTACACCACTACACCACTACACCACTACACCACTACACCACTACCACCACTACCACCACTACCACCATTACCACCATTACCACCACTACCTCTCCTACTACCGTTATGACCGCTACTACCACTACCGACACTACTCCCACTACTGCCATTACTACCACTACTACCACTACAACCACTACTACCACTACTACCACTACTACCACTACCACCACTACCAGCTGTAGTAGTAGTAGTAGTAGTAGTAGTAGTAGTAACAGTTTTTTGCAGTGGAGTTGGAACCACAGAATCGCAGATACACGACGATCAGTGAGTTGAGAATTTCAGAGTCTACAGTGAAGGGTAGCGTCCGGGGTCAAAAGGGAACGAAAATAGTTTTTAGGCTATTTAGCTTGTACCATGGAGGAGAATAAGGTAGACATGATTTATGTTCCCTGCTGAAGATTTTGTGTTCTGTTTTCACAAAAATGCATTTGAAATTTGGCCGCTAGTACCTCTGAGCCTCTGTTTTCTGATGCACAGTTTTGCCCATGCCTTATTTTCGGTATCATCACGGGGAAGGGTGTAACTGGCCCTGCCAAGCCATTTTGGTCCGGTAGGCTGAACCCTTCCCGTGCCCCCAATTGAACTGGCGGGGGCCCGCGAGGTAGATGTGCTGATTACTTGTCGTTTGTGAGTGCAGGGCCTCTTCATTAAGAGAGTTCAGTTCTTAATTGGCAGCTTGTTTTTTGGTTTCCCTCCCTTTCTCTCTCTCTTCCTCCCTCCCCGTTTCCCTATTTGGTTTTTCATAAGTGGGGTAGCCCAAAACATCATGGAGAAGGAGAGGATTTGAACCTGTGACCTTATGCTTCATCAGTTCCACTCAGGCATTGGACATATACTGCAACTCATAGTATAGTAGCCCTCTGAGGGAGAAGGGACGTGGGGTTTTCTGGGCTGTGAAGTAAAGAATAAGCATGGTTTGGAGAATATGGCGACTCAATGTGCCACAAATCTGGATGGAGGGTTCAATATACATGGTACACCTAAAGAAGACAAATGTACGTGTGTGCCTGAGAGAGAGAGAGAGAGAGAGAGAGAGAGAGAGAGAGAGAGAGAG